CGCTCCCTTGTGTGGGAGAGGACGTCGGGCGGCCGGCGGGAGCCAGAGCTCGGGAAGGGAAGAGTGCCTGGGATCTTTTCCCTGTGATGCTGCGTGCCGTGGCAGCGGAGAGGGATGCAGGAGGCTTTGTAGGGAGAGCAGCGCCGAGCGGAGCCGCCGCCGAGGAGCCGAGCAGGCCCCTGGTGCTGATGTTGTCATCTGTGTCTCTGTTGTGTATTATTTCCAGCTGATTGGTAAAGATGGAAAGAGGGAGAGGAGGAGGAGGAAGGAACCTGGGAGGCTCTGGCCTGCACAGGAGCATTTATTCCCAGTCCCAGCAGCAGTACCACTACCCATCCTCCTCCCAGGGGAGCTGCATGGAGATCCAGGAGCTGGCCTCCAAGAGGGTGGACATCCAGAAGAAACGCTTCTACCTGGATGTGAAGCAGAGCTCCCGCGGACGCTTCCTGAAGATCGCCGAGGTCTGGATAGGGAGAGGCAGGCAGGACAACATCCGGAAAAGCAAGCTGACCCTCTCCTTGTCCGTGGCTGCCGAGCTGAAGGACTGCCTGGGCGACTTCATCGAGCACTACGCCCACCTGGGCCTGAAGGGTGGCCACGGCCACCGGCACGAGCACAGCAATGACAAGGAGCAGCTTCCCCGGCGACGACAGCCGCATCCCGCGCCGCCCTCGCCCCCCGTGTCCGTGGGCTCCGAGGAGCACCCCCACAGCGTCCTCAAGACGGAGTATATCGAGAGGGACAACAGGAAGTACTACCTGGACCTGAAGGAGAACCAGCGAGGGCGCTTCTTGAGGATTAGGCAAACCATGAGCAGGGGACCTGGAATGATGGGGTATTTCGGCCACAGCTTGGGCCAGGAGCAGACTATCGTCCTTCCGGCGCAAGGGATGATCGAGTTCAGGGATGCTTTGGTCCAGCTGATTGAAGAGTACGGCGAGGGGGACATAGAGGAGCGCCGGGGGGGAGGCGAGGAGCCCCCGGAGCTCCCCGAGGGCACCTCCTTCCGAGTGGACAACAAGCGCTTCTACTTCGACGTGGGCTCCAACAGGTACGGCATTTTCCTGAAGGTAAGTGAGGTGAGGCCTCCCTACCGTAACACCATCACGGTGCCATACAAAGCGTGGACACGGTTCGGGGAGAATTTTATCAAGTACGAAGAAGAGATGAGGAGAATTTACAACAGCCATAAAGAAAAGAGGATGGATGCCAGAGGGGACAGTGGTGAAGAGCAAGAGGGTCTGGAATAGAGTGCATTGGACTGGCCTTCTGGCAGAGTTCACAGAGCAAAACAAGCAGAAATTGGTGAGAGGGACTGACTTAGAGTAATTCCGAAGTTGCCCCAGTTTTTTGTAAAGTCCTTTTCTGGTAGTTCTTGCTAACTCCAGTGGTGTTCTAGGAGTCTGGTTATCACGTTCCATTGCGCCCAAAACATCTCTGTCTGTTGTAGGAAAGTACCAACCTCCTGAGTCCGTATGAGTCAGCTACTTCGAGTGTGGAAGACTATGGAAGTACATGTATCAGCACAACAAAAATCCGGCACTCTGACCTTTAAATAGTCTAGATCAGGCTTGTGTTGCACTTAACATGGTACAAAAATACCCCCCAACCCCAAACCTGATGCTGAAATGTATCAGCTTCTGCTTATCACAGGTTTTCCAGGGCTGAATCCTGCCCGAAGTGCCGTAAGGCGTTCACGGCCAAAATCAACTCCATGTCAATTGCTGGTCTGTATGTGAGGAGGGAGAGAGGTTTTAAAGTTAGCATTTGCTGGTTATGGAGTGGGAAATGCTAGTCTGTATGGGTAAAACCTTGATGAGTGGTCAGACCTTTGTCATGTGCTGGTGAAGGGCAGAAGATTGGCTATGCATTCCGTAGTTTTGTGCTGACCGGATAACCTGAGTATCCCAGAATACCACTAAGCCTTCTGAGTTAATGGCAGTGAATAACCCACTCCTTATCTCTGTGTCCTGCCCGTGCAAGACTGGTGACTTTTTGGTTCTTTTTACTCCATTTTGTCCCAAATTCCAGAAGGTATTTTTGTATTAGGCATGTTATGGGTTCCAGCAGGTGACCGTGGCGCAGGCGTTGGGAGGTGGAGGGAACGCCGAGGCTCCCAACTTCCATCCCAAATGTGGGATTGATGGCATGATGTGACCTATGCAAGGAAAACACCTGGGAGCAAGAAAGACCTTTGTGGGGTTTGGTGCACCACTGGATTTGTAGACAAAGGCATCTCTTATGCTCACACGTGGTGCATTTTGGAAGCCACAGCAAACGGCATGTTGGATTTTCCATCATGTTGATTTTACAGCTGTTGTTGTCAGAAAACTATCCATGCCCTGCCATCACCCCCTTCCCACCCACTTGGAGCTGGAGCTACCGTTGAGCAGTTCCAGCCTTGATCACCCACCCCCAGGTTTTGGTGTTATCCCACTGATGTCTTTGTGACACAGGTTTTACATCTCACGATATAAACTCTCTGCCTGGAGGGAAAATGTGTGCAATTACTTGTTTGGGAGGTTGACAAAAGATTTTTGTTGTTTCTTAAAACATGAATATTTATAACAAAATGGGCTTTTCCAGCCTTCCCCCCGAACCAGTGGGAGTTTGATTGAGCTCCAGGTACTTCCAGTAACGTGTTGTTCACCTTTAAGATTGTTTGAAGTAGTGTCTAATCAGATATTTATAATCATTCAAATGGTTTCATTACAGAGTGGCCTAGTGTGCATGTGGACCAGCTATTTTTCCATATTTTTGATGTTTTACTCTTTTGAGAAAGGTGTTTGTCTCCAACCAGGCCATTGATGACTCTCAGTCTGGACCCACCTGCACACTGCATGGCCACGCTCAATCTGAATGCTATTGCCTGTTAATGTAATGAGAAAGGTTGGGGAGGCAGGATTGGGAACCAAGAGGATAATCTGGACTTTAGTTTGGGTACTAAAACTGGTTGATCTGTTTTAACTTTGAAAAAAAAAAAGAAAAAAAGAAAAAAAATATAAGCTTGCACCAAAGTCACCAAAGAACCTTTAGGAAAAAATGTTACAGTTGTGACAAGAAATAAGAAAGTTAATTTCACTGTTTTAGGTGATTCCCCCTTTAAAAACCACATCTAGCAGTTAGAGCAACCAAGCCTTTGGCTTAATGTCAAAAACTCCCATCCCTTTCTCCGTGGATTGCTCTTTCAGGTCCTTTCCCAAACCTGGAAGAGATGTTTTCGCTCCATCACTTGAACAACCAGCGGACCGTGATGAACCAGCAGGAGGTTGTGAGGGGCAGTGGTTCATCGTCACTCTTAGGGCTTTGGTCCCAATGGTTTTAACAGGTCAATTAAAAAAAAAACCAAAACCACCCCACAAAACCAACATGGAAATAACTCTACATCCTGTTATTGGTGTGAAACCAGAACGTAGCGAATGAGTCCTTGATGCGTAGTTAGCGTATCGCTGACTGCTGCTGCCCGTCACAGTGCCTGAGCTAAAAATTCACTCCTATTCCAACCAACTGGAGCTATGAATGTACAAACTTTTTACGCTCTCCTTCCCGTTTCTACGTGGTCCCCTGTGAGCTCAACATCTCCCCATCCCTGCCTACCTTTGCCTCAAGCGATCGTAAAAGCTCCTCTGTTGGAATTAGCCCGAGTGACCCCGTGTGTTCTAAGTGCTCATGACTTCCCTGTGTTCCTATAGCCTTGGTGAGGAAATTACTTGGGATTGGAAAGGGATTTTTTCTTCACCGTTTTCAAAGGAAAAAGGATGCAAAATGGCTTTCCTTATTGCTACCCATTTTTTACTAAAAAAAAACCCCTTTATCTTTTGTTAATGAATTGACCTTCTATGCCGTTAGTTTATTGTGAATATCACCCAGGAATCCCATTGCTACCAGGCCAGGCTCGGGTCTGGCATGCAGGTATCCTGTGGGATCCATTAATGCATTTATTCCCCCAGCACGGGATGCACCTTAGTATCCAGACCTGGATTGGGATCTTCACGTTCACTGCCGATCACCCATGGGTAGACCAGTAACCACGGGTTTCCACCACGGTGGAAAGATGGTGGGTTGGAGGGTAATGGGTTTCCACAATGGTGGAAAGCACTGGTTTGTGCAGATGTTGAGTTGGAGGTAATGGATTTCCACTACAGTGGAAAGCACCTCTGAGTGCAGACGATGTGTTGAAGGTAATGGATTTCCATCACGATGGAAGGCACTGGTGTATGCAGATGTTGAGTTGGAGGTAATGGATTTCCATCATGCTGGAAAGCACCAGTGTGTTCAGGTGTTGTGTTGGAGTAATGGATTTCCACCATGGTGGAAAGCACCAGTGTGTGCAGATACTGAGTTGGAGATAATGGGTTTCCACCATAGTGGAAAGCACCAGTGTGTGCAGGTGTTGAGTTGTAGGGTAATATGGACACACTCAAAGTGTAGCAATGCAAGACTTGAACGGTGAGATTCGGAAACGGGTTCCTTGGTATTTTTGGCAGCGTGTCTTCAGTGGTAACATGGGCTGCTGGCACACAGAAGGGCCCAGCGAGATGCTCAGGAACACTGACTCCCTGATGCATTTTAGATGTTCGTTCCTGACGCCCTGAAACTGCCATGTCCCTTAAACTTGAGAAAACACAAGCTTATTTGCACTAGAAAGAACGGCCAAAAACAATCCTTAGGAGGACAGGGTGATGAGCACCGGTCTGAACCTCTTTTTCTCATGAGAGAATTTCCTATCCAAGCCCTCACCTCTGTTTGGAAATTGAATGGTCCCGGCAGAAAGTCTGTCAGTTGAATAATTAAATCCTAATGCACTTTATATTGTGTAAATAATACTAGGAGCACATTTCTGCTCCCGCTCTGGTAAGGGGATGCTTCGGTTACGTAGTCTCATGCTGAGAGAAGCTGTCTCCTGTATGCACGTGTCTGTTACAGACCTGTCATACCTGCTTGGTCCATGTTAGAGGAGGACAGGCGCTGTGTTGAGGATCTTCTCAAACCACCAAGAGTGGGATGATTTGGTTTTTCGAGCTGTGATGTGCAGAGCTGCTGGGCATCCTCAGCTCCGACATCAGCTTCTCACCCCTTCTGCAAGTCAGGCCCCCATGTTGCTGTCGAGGCTTCAAACTGAGCTGTTCATGTGTAGTCTTGACAAAGCCAAGTCCAGCAGCTTCCTCCTGCTTGGCTTTCCTGCTGCTGGTGCAGGGCAGTCCCTAAAAAGCTTATCCCGGGTGGAAGGGGCTGTGGGGGCTTCCCCGGGGGGGGATTGCTTGGAGCCCAGCCCATGGAGCCAGCTTTCCTGGTAAAGTACAGAGCTATGGAAGGGTTGGGAAGCATTTTGCACTGGTGTGGTGAGGGTGACCCACCGGGCGCTCCAAGGGAACGGCAAATCCCACCGGTCTTGGGTTCCTTATGTCAAGTGTGGATGATGGACTTGACCCAGCAAGAAGCTGCAGTGGTTATTGGTATCTACTCGTCGTCGTGTTTCTTATCTGTATCCAATATATACCAATTCATATTCACATATAGGCATTGATATATTTATGTGAGTATATTGTAGCCTGTAGTAGCTCGTAGAGAAATAATCTTATTTATCTGAAGTAAGCAGTCTGAGGAGGGCAGGTCTGCCCCCACCACCGGTCTGGATAAACGCCTTGTTTCACCCAGAGCTGGTTGGGAGCTCTTTGTCTCAGGCATCCCTGAGGTTTTCAGCAAGGCTGCAAGGGAAAACGTAGCTAAAAGAAGGCAAAGCTCTTCCTTGGAGGCGTCGTTGAGGTGAGAGCTGTAAGGAAGAGGCAGCTGCAGGTACTGCTGGCCACGTCGTGTTTCCATGCCATCTCGGCTCTGCAAATCTGTACTACTATGTGGATAAAATCCCAAGCAGAAGTGTTAAAATCCCATCCTTTACACAAAAAAAAACCCAACCCAAGCAATTACCAAAATCAATGTCAGCACTTTTGTTTTCTGCTACAGATGTTATAGTCTGATAATTGCATCATTTTGTTTTTTCCTTTTGGCCTATTGAAGTGACCTAAACTCACAGGGAAGGGAGTTGGTGGTGGTTAGGAAGTACTGCTTGCTTGACTTGCTGCCCTGTTATCCAAGACTTGTCATTTTTATAGCAGAAAAAGGTTTATTATTGTGTATTTTTATTGGGCATATTTTGCACCAGGTCAGAAATTCCTTAACAAGCAGTTTTAGTTCCATGGCATTCCCACTTTCGCTGTACATACCGTAGATATATAGGATTTATAAAAGA